CCGCGGCCGCGGCGTCGACGCCGACGCCGCCGCCGACGACGGCCGCGCCGACGATGACGCCCGCGCCGACGATCACGCCCGCGCCGTCGCTGCCCCCGACGCCGCTGCCGACGCCGAGCCCGACGACGCTCGCGGAGAAGGCCGCGGCCGCGGACGAGGACGAGGACGACGACGGCGTGGACGCCGCGAGCGCTCTCGGGGGCATGAGCTACTGGTGGGTCGTCATCGTCCTCCTCGTCGTGCTCAACGTCTTCCTCTGCTGCCTCCTCTACTTCCGCGTCTGCATCCCCGTCGGCGAGGACGAGCTCACGGAGCACATGGAGATCGAGGAGAAGGTCTCCTTCGCGAGCTGCAACATGGACGGGTCCATGAAGCTCGAGCAAGTCTACGCGGGCAAGGCGCTGCCCTAGCCTCTCCTTTTCATATAGCACCCGCCTCCTTAGTCGCCGGGCGTCGCGTCGCCGCCCGCGTCCTTCGCCTTGCGCCGCCGCGCCTTGGCCTCGCCCGCGATGTCGAGGCTCGCCTTCGCGTAGGTCGCCGCGTCCCGCACGCGCGCGTCGCCGTCGCTCTCCGCGTTGGCGACGGCCGCGGCGATGCGCTCCTTGTAGGGCGCCGTCGCGAGGGCCGACACGGCCGCGAGCCGCAGGAGCGCGTCGCCGCTCGCGGCGGCCGCGAGCACCGCGGCCTGGCACTCCGCCGTCCAGCAGCACGTCGTCTCGACGAAGGCGCAGGCCGCGGCGCGCGCGGGCGGCGCGTGGGCGCGGCCCGGGTCGCCGTCGGGCGGGACGTTCCCCGCGACGCGCGCCGCGGCGACCGCGGCGGCGCGCGCGACCCTGCTCCCGGGCCCCCCGCGCGGCTTCTCCCGCAGGTCGCCGAGCTCCTCGCCGAGGAGCCGCAGGACCGCCGTCTGGACGCGGGCGTCGCCGTCCTCGACGGCGGGCACGACGCCCGGCAGCCGCTCGACGGCCGCCGCGCGGACGCCCGCCGATTTTGACAGTAAACCGTCGCGGAAGCAGAGCGCCGCGGCGAGCCGCGCGTCCGCGTCGCCCTCGCCGGCCTCGGGCCCGAGCGCCGCCGCGGCCATGTCGAGGACGGCGCCGGCGTCGCCCGCGTCGCCGCGCGCGACGACGGCCCGCGCGGCCTCGAGCGCCTGGTGCCGCGCGGCCGCGTCGCCCGCGGTGCAAAAAAAGCCCCGGCGCGACGTGCCGTAGAGGCCGACGGCGTCGGCGGCGGAGACGCGGCCGCTGGCCGCGAGCGCCCGCAGGGCCGTCGCCCGCGCGACGCCGGACGCCGCCTGCGACGCGTCGGCGACGACCTCGCGCTGGGCGGCCGCGTCGCGCGCCCGCTCGGCCTCCTCCGCCGCCGCCGCCGCCGCCGCCGCGCGCAGGGGCGAGTTCGGGTCCCGCGCCGGCTCCTTCGACGGCCGGAACTCGCGGATGGGCAGGCCGCCGTCCATGCTTGTTCTCGAACCGGTTAGAAGCTGCCCATTACTCGTACCAAAAAAGGTGGGTGTTGAACTGGCACATTGCAGACCATGGTTTTAAGTTGCCGGGGCGGGCTTTTGAGGCTGTGGCGGTCGTCGTCGGCGGCCGGAAGCGGGCGCTCCTCTTCCACCATGGCCGACGCGCCGAAGACGAAGTCGCGGCGGCCGCCGGCGGGCAAGTTCTACCAGCAGGAGATGGCGGCCTGGCAGCCGACGCTGACGCCCGGCAACGTGATCACGACCTTCGCCGTCCTCGGCGCGGGCTGCATCGTCGTCGGCGTGCTCATCCTCTACGCGACGTCGAGCGTCGTCCAGGTCAAGGCGCACTACGACGGGCCCGACGCCCCGGGCGCGCACGAGGCCTGCCGCGTGTCCGGCCTCGGGCAGACCGCGAGCTGCGCGGTGACGATGAAGGCGCCCGAGAAGATGGCCGCGCCGATCTACGTCTACTACGAGCTCGGCAACGTCTACCAGAACCACAAGCGCTACTCGACGTCCCTCTCCCACGAGCAGCTCATGGGCTCCATCCTGGAGAAGGACGAGCTCAGCGCCTGCGAGCCGCTGAAGACGTCGGGCGACCGGACGCTGTCCCCCTGCGGGCTTTTAGCGAACTCCTTCTTCAGCGACACGTTCACGGTGTCGTCGCCGGCGGGCCTGGAGATGAAGGAGGAGAAGATCGCCTGGTGGAGCGACCGGAGCCACAAGTTCATCCAGCCGGACACGTTCGAGTACCGGACGGGGATCCCCGAGGCGGACGTCGAAGGCTGCTTGAACGCGCCGCCCTACGACACGAAAACGCCCTGCGCCGACAGCGTGTGTCAAACTCACGGCCTCGACGCCGGCTGCCTCGGCTACGCCTGCGTCGGCGGCCGCTTCGACGACGAGCGCTGCGACGCGGGCGACTACGCGCTCTTCTCCTACGAGCGGCCCGACAAGTTCCAGTACCTCTACGAGACCTACCCGGACAACATCTCGCCGCTCGTGGGCGTCGAGGACGAGCACTTCATGGTCCACATGCGCACGGCGGCGCTGCCCCACTTCCGCAAGCTCTACGGGAAGATATCGACGGACGTCGAGAAGGGCGAGTCGGTGACGTTCGCCGTCGAGAGCCGCTTCTGGGTCCGCAAGTTCGGCGGCGACAAGTACCTGACGATGACGACGCTGTCCAACTTCGGGGGCGCGGACCACTTCACGAGCGTCGCCTACATCGTCGTCGGCGTCATCTGCTGCGCCGTCGCGCTCCTCTTCGTCGGGCTCCAGCAGGTCCAGCCCCGCGTCATCGGCGACCTCTCCGCCGCCGTGGAGAACAGGAAAACGAAGTGAGGGAGGACCCCTAATACGAAGAGCGCCGGGTCTTAGGTCGGCGCGAAACAGGGGGGGGGCGGCCTACTCGTTCTTGCCGCAGCCGTTGCTCATGTTGTAGAGCCCCCGCATGATCTGGATGAGGCCGAAGGACACGATGGCGCCGGCGATCATGACCTGGGCCTTGTCCTCGGAGCCCTTGAGGTACGTCGGGTTGTCCGCGCCCACGAGTTCGATGTTCGCGACGAAGGGCTTGCGCCACTCCTCGACCTTGTTCGGCATGCGCTGCACGGGGCCCGCCAGGGGGTCGAAGACGGAGAAGGGGCGCCGCGCCGGCCCGACGGACCGCGCCAGCTTGGGCACGAGCATGCGCGTGGCGTTCATCCTGCGGGGAGTGGGTTTAGGAGGTTGCGGCGGGGGTGGGGGGGGCTCGGAAAGCCCGGGAAACGGCGTCGCGCGTCCCCGATGGGCGCGGGGCGTGCTCTGAAGGGCTCGGCGAAGGTTCCCGCGCGACACCCCGCTCCCCTCGCGCGGAAATTAAGGACGCCGACCATTGCCTCGATTAAGCTGCCGAGAGGCGATGAGGTCGATCGTGCAGACGTGTTGCACGAGCCCTGCCGCCGCAGACCTCGTCGAGAGGCGCGTCGAGCGTCGAGGAGCACGCGGCCAGTCATGGCCGCCAAGGCCTCCTACGAGCTCGTCCTCTCCTTCGGCGTCGGCGTCGCCGCCGCCGTCGGGTCGAGCTACTACGTCTGCGAGGAGCTCAAGGCCTTCAAGACGTCGAGCGTCGCGCAGCTCGGCGGCGGCGCGAAGCTCAAGCCCCTGCCCCACGACGTGCTCTACGCCGCGGCGCCGCCGCGCGAGGCGAGCGCGCCCTACGCCTACGTGCGCGACGCGTGGAACGGCCGCCTCGACGCGCTCCGCAAGGCCATCTCGGACGTGTTCGCGCCCTAGGTGGGCCTAACTTAACTTCCGCCCGTGATGCGCGCGAGGGACCGGCGGGGCGCCCAGCGCGCCACGCGGGACACGGCGGCCGGCGGCGCGCCGCGGGGCACGGGCCGCGCGACCGCGCCCGCGCGGTCCGCGACGCCGAGGACGCGGAGCTCGTCGTCGTGGACGGCGACGCCCGGGTAGGCGAGGCAGACGTGGTCGCAGCCCTCGGGCACGGCGACGTCGCCGCAGTCGACGTGCTCCCGCTGGGCGACGGACACGGCCGGCGGCGGGTCCGGCGGGACCGGCGGGACGAGCGCGCCGAGCTTGCCGCACTGGGGGCAGAAGTTGGCCTTGAGCTCGGCGCCGCAGCAGACGCGGCTCCCCGGCCGCGGCTTGGGCGGCGGGGGGCGCGGCGTGTGGCCCTCGACGGTCGCGAGCTCGACGCCGGGCGGCTCGCCGCGGAGCGGCGCGCTCGGCCGCCGCGGCCGCGGCGCCGCGCCCGGCGGCGCCGCCGGCCGCGGGGCCGCCGCCGCCGCGTCCCGCGCCTCGAGGCGCTTGTGGAGCCGGTAGGCGAGGCAGGACGACGCGGCCAGCAGGAGCACGAGCGCGCCGCCGACGACGTAGACGGCCGTCGACGCGGCCTCGAGCTCGTCGTCGCCGTCGTCGGACGACGACTGTCGCGCGCTCGTGGCCCGCAGCGACGCCGGGGCGACCCAGGCGGGCGAGAAGTCCGACGTCGGGCGGATCGTGCCCGCCGTCGACGGCGCGCGGCGGTGGCTGCCAGACGGCGGGCCCGGCCCCGCGGGCTCGGAGATCTTGCAGACGTAGGCGGCGGCGTAGCAGCGCGTCCGGTCGTCGCAGTCGTGCCACTTGGGGCCCTGGTAGAAGAACGCGCGGCCCTGCGCGCCGTTGACCTCGGGCCGGCCCTTGGCCCAGTTCGTGTAGGACGCGTTCGACGCGTCGTCCCAGACCCAGGTGCCCTCCTCGTGAAGTCGCTGAAGCCAATAAGAATGATGCCGCTCGGGTTCAAATTCCAGACCGCGTCGTTCTGGGCCGCGCTGTGGATGGACGCGAGGCGCGCGCCGCGCGCCTGGCACGCGTCCTCCGCGTTCTCGCCGTAGCGCTTGCTGTCGTCGAAGTAGCGGAAGCAGCCGTCCTCGATCCAGGTCCAGCCCGCGACGCACTCGCCCCAGGCGACCCACTGCGTGTACTCGGGGACGCAGCAGCTCGTGTACCGCGGCACGTCGTCGCACGGGAAGCTCCGCGTGTAGCCGTAGCCGGGTCGGCAGGACCCCTGGCCCGCCCAGGCGCAGCAGTCGGGGTCGGCGTTGTCGTTGTCGAGGCAGGCGCCGGCCGCCGCGCCCATGCGGGCGCCCGACGGGCAGAACTCGTCGACGCAGTCGCTGCTCTTCTGGCCGTAGTTCGCGCAGACGACGCTCGGCCCGTCGAGGGCCGCCTGCGCCGCCGCGAGCCGCCACGACGCCGCGGCGAGGAGGCCGCGGACCCGCATGGCCGGGTTTGCGGGCCTCGTCGACGAGGGCGGCACCACGACAGACGAAGGAGCCCCTATTGCCATAGGGGGCAGCTCCGAGCCTCCTTGAATCTGTGCAGCAACATGAGCTTACAGAAGGAAGCACCCACTTCAGCAGGTGGCAGCAACGCAGCAGGGTGGACCCGGCGCGGGCCCAGATCTAGCGCCGCATGGGCGACGCGTGCTCCACGCGGTCCACGGCGTCCGCCGCCGGGGGCGCGCCGCCCATGGCCGCCTTGTGCGGAATCTCGCTGAGCTTCTTGCAGGGGCCGAGCGCGGGCTTGGGGTACAGCGTGCAGAACCTGGGACGCGCTCTTCGGTCGAGGTTTCACGCGGGAGACGCGGGCGCCTCGCAGGAAGGAGATGGCGCTCGGCGCGTTGCTGCCGTCGCAGGGGAGCGAGCAGGCGTTGAAGTAGCAGAAGCACTGGTTCCGCTGTTTGAGGAGCGTCCGCGGGAACTCGACGTCGACCTCGCTCGCGTTGAGGACGAAGTACTTGGGGCCCTTGGCGTTGCACTCCTTCAGGCCCCGCGCCTTCGTGTCGATGCACAAGCAGGTCTGCTTCGCATCGAAGCCGAAACAGTCCGAGGTGTCGGTGTAGATGCCCTGGACGCAGCACAGGCACGCGTTGCAGACGAAGACCTTGTCCTCCTTGACCATGCTGGAGCTTTTTGTGCTCCTTCGAGATGTGCGAAAGGCGGTCGCGCGCCGGACCGGGTCGTGGCCTCGGGCGGGGCAGCTCTCGACGGCGGGTGGTCGGGAATGCTCGGCCCGTGCTCGGCCAAGAAATAAAGTTCAACGACGGGGCAGCCAAGACGATGTGATGGCGCGTCGGCTCGTCGTCGCGCTCGTCGTCAGACACGTCATCGCCAAGTCGCTGGACCAGGTCGAGGACCCGTCGGTCTACCTCGACTCGCGCTTCCGCCTGAAGCCCGGCTGCGTCGACGCCTACGTCGAGCGCGGCGGCGACGGTCGCTTCCTCGACCCCGACTACGAGCTGCGCACGCGGGAGGCGCTGCGCTTCGGCGCGGCGCCGCGGCTCGCCGTCTATAAGGAGGCCAAGGTGCCGACGATCAACGGCACGGCCTTCGTGTACGTCGTCAACCGCAAGGCCGCGAGCCGCACGCTGCAGGACGTCGCGTCGGCTTTGCACGCCGCCGGCGACCGCGGCGCGCCGAAGAAGCGGGTCGTCGTCTTCACCTTCGTGCGCGACCCCCTGCGGCGCCTCGAGAGCGGCTACAAGGAGATCGTCTTCCGCCACGTCGACGGCCGTTGGTGCGCGCCGCCGAACACGCACCGCTGGGATTCCGTCTGCACGCACGCGTACGCGAAACTCCTCCGCGGCTCCCGGGAGCGCTTCGAGGGGTTTCTGAACGCGACGCTGCTCGGGCCCATCGCCAACCTCAGCGACGACGCCATGTCCTACCACGTGCTGAGCCAGAGCCGCCAGTTCGCGCACATCCGCAACGTCGCCTTCGTCGGCAAGATCGAGCGGCTCCGCGCGGACGTGCTGCGCCTGCTGCGCCTCGCCGTCGACGACCCGGAGGCGTTTCTGGCGGCGCACCCGGCCCTCGAGAAGCTCGTCGAGGAGGACGAGACGAACTGGTCCGCGGGCGGGAACCACCCGATGCGCGCGATCCACGCGCGCCTCGAGAAGCGCGTCGGCGCGCGGCGCCTCGCCGAAATTCCCGCGCCGCCCCGGGGCCGCGCGCGCGTGAAGCACCAGCTCGACTTCCTCCGCGACGGCGCTGCGCTCGACGCGCTCCGGCGGTCGGGCGGGTCCGCGCGCGGCCGCAACCGCACGAGCGTGTCCTGCCACGGCCCGGCCTGCGCCGGGCGGCGGCCGCCGCGCGGCGCCCTCGCGCCGCCGGCGAAGTACTCCGACTGGACCATGCCGAGCGCGCGGAACCACACCGCGTTCCTGTCAGCGCTCTCGCCGTTCGCGCGGGACCTCGTCGTCGACTACTACCGCCAGGACGCGGCCTGCTTCGGCTACGACTGGCCGGGCGCGCCCGTCGCCGACGAGGCGCCCTCGCCGGCGCCCTCGCCCGCGCCCTCGCCGCGGCCGACGCCCGCGCCCTCGCCCGCGCCCTCGCCGGAGCCGCCGCCCGCCGCGCCGAGGCACGGCCTCTTCGCGCGGCTCGGTACGTTGTTCGGGCGACGGTCGTAACCTGTCCCGCCGGCGGGACCGCTTTTACCTTGTCTTCAACGTAACATGCCGAACTCCTTAAGCCGCGGCGCGATGCGCCGGACGGCGGCGCGGGTCGCGCCTTCGGGCGGCGCCTAGTCCTCCGCGAAGTCGTCGTCGTAGCCGTCGCCTTCCATCCGCCCTCCGATGACCTCCTCCGCGCCTTCGACCATGACCCAGAAGTTCTCGTCCGCCTGGGGCGGGAACTCGCAGGCGCCGAACTTGCCGCCGGCGCCCTTGTACACCGTGCTCCAGCGGAGGCACTTGGCCCGCGCGCCCTCGCGGGCCACGGTGCCGAGCGTCACGACGAACTCGAGGGCGCCCGCCTCGGCGTCGGCGCGCACGGGCGCGTCCGCGGGCACCTTGCAGAGGAACGACGTGACGCGCGCCGCGGGGCCGTCGCCCGCGGCGAGCACGGGGTTCACGTCCGTCGTTTTGTCGAAGCGGCGCCCCCACTCGGACCCCGCCGTGCCGTGGTAGCCCGAGATCTGCAGCTCGCCCTCGTTGAGATCGACGTAGCGACGGCTCCAGCAGTGCATGTCCCAGGGCGGCCGCTCCGCGGTGTCGTAGTCCGGCGAGAAGCAATCGACGAACGTGCCGACCCAGTCCGCCTCCGTCGCGGTCGCCAGCGGCGTGAAGGTCCGCGCGAGGTCGTCGCGCGAGAACGTCGTCGCTTTTTGGGCGAGGGCGTAGAGGCTCACGTCGTCGTCGCCGACGCTCTCGAGCGCGGCGCGCAGCGCCTTGGCGCTGACGACGGCGCCGGCGAGGTTCCCGTAGCTCTTCCGCTCCTGGGCGCTCTTCTCCGTGCTGGCGCCGGCGCCCATGTTGCGACTCGACGAGTTCGACAGTGGTGTCGACGACGGCGTCCGGCGCTGCTCTGAAGGGCAGCCCGGCGGCACCACGGCGGCACCGTTTCGGCATGTTTACCCGAGTTTCTCTGTGAGAGGCTGGCAGCTCGAGTACTAGTAGGCGACTTCGCGGCGTCACCCGCGGCGCTCCCGTCGGCGGCGCGCGGGTCCGTTCAGCACACCAGACACCCGGTCGCCTCGGCACGCACAGCGTCACCCGCGGCGCTCCCGTCGGCGGCGCGCGCGTCGTTCAAGCACACCACACACCCGGTCGCCTCGGCACGCACGCGCAGGCACCATGTGCGAGACGGGGCTCGACCTGACGAAGATGGACGGCATCAAGGCGTCCGGCGCCAACCGGGGCACGCACCACGGCGACTACAGCGACGTGCCGCAGCAGCTCCTCGAGGGGGGCGCGCAGACGCTCGCGAAGCCGCTCCACCCCTACATGGACCCGAAGCGGCAGGTCACGAAGGCCCTGCCCGGCATGCACCTCGTCCACAAGCGCATCCTGCTCAGCGACGAGGGTCGAAAGCTCACGGAGTGCGAGGCCCACATGCGCCGCGCGAACCAGCGCGGCTTCAAGGACGAATTCTTACCCCGCATCAAGTGGGAGGGCGCCAAGGAGGGCTACTACTTCACGACGGGCTTTCGCGGCACGGGCTACTACCTCGACGACACGTGGTGCGAGTACAACGACCCCGACGAGTACGGCTACGTGCTCGTGCGCGCCGCGCCGGCCGTGGCCATGCACCGCGTGCTGCCGAAGCGCGGGAAGGTCGGCAAGCAGGGGTTGTTATTCGACAAGGAGCTGCTCGACGCTTTGGGCCCCGCGCACGGCAAGCCGCCGCACCGCTACAAGCTCATCACGCCGCCGTGGCTCTGCGAGATGAAGCCGCCGAAGATGAAGTTCGAGAAGGAGAACATGATGCAGGGCACGGAGGTCAAGGGCAGCAACCAGATGCTCAAGGAGCGCGTCGAGTGGATCGCCTGGCGCATGCAGCAGGTCAGCAAGGTCCTGCACGACCGCGCGGAGCGGAAGCGGCGCTGCGGCCAGGCGCGCTTCGTCTACAAGGCGCCCAAGGCCGTCGTCGTGAAGCACGCCACGGGCGCCCTCGCGCGCGCCGACGTGCCCCTGACGTCCGACGAGGTGGGCGTCGTGCCGTCGGGCGCGACGTGCGTCGCCGTCGAGGAGGCGCTGAACCCCTTCGACGGCAAGACGTCGCGCGTGCGCCTCGCGTCGCCGCTGGAGGGCTGGGTGAGCCTGAAGACGTTAGCATTGGCCGCCGCGGGCAGCGAGGACGCCGCCGAGTTCGGCTCGACGCAGAAGGCGCGGCGCGCGGCGCGGACGCGGAAGCCCGGCGCGGACATCATGCCGGACATGCTCCGCGAGATGACGGGGTCCTCCGTGTCGAACCCGCGGCTCGTCGCCGACTTCGGCGCCGAGCTCGAGCCGAAGAAGAAGGTCGACGTCGCCGCGCTCGTCGCGCTCGGCGACCCCGACGACCCCGTGGACGACCCCGAGGACGACGACGACACGCTCAAGGCGAAGGCGCTCGTCCGCGCGATCGTCGCGCTGCCCGCGGCCTGCGGCGAGGTCGCCTACAAGGGCGAGTACCTCGCGCCCGTCATCACGGCGCCCGGCCCCTGGACCGTGCTGCTGGAGTTCGGCGGCGTCGACGCGTTCGACAAGCCCCTGGCGTTCAAGGCGACGGTGAAGAAGGGGATGCTCGCGGCGCCCGTGACGAAGCTGCTGGAGACCTTCGCGAAGAAGCACGCGGCCAAGTACCCCGGGGACCGGTCCGCGACGCCGCCCTGGGAGGCGCTCGACGCCGCCAGTTTGCGCCTCTACGCCGCCGGCGCGTCCGACGAGGACCAGCGCGCGCGGCGCAAGGCCTTCAAGCTGAGGAAGGTGCCGAGCTCGACGGACCCGCACCTCGCGCCGGACACGCTGCTCTGCGAGGTGCTCGAGGACCTGGACCCCGGCGCGTCGCTCCACGGCGCGTTCGTCGTCCGCCGCCGCCTCGGCGCGGGCCGCGACTCCGAGGCCGTCGTGTCCGCGCGGTCCAAGGAGCTCGCCGTCCGCGCCGAGGAGCGCGGGCCCGAGATCACGGAGTGGAGCAGCCAGATCGACATGATCCGCGCGAACGCCAAAAAGGGCTGGGGCGAGCCGCAGACGTCCGAGGAGATTCGGGAGTACTGGGAGCAGCAGAAGAACTACAAGCACTGGCGCACGACGGCGGCGCTCAAGGGCTTCACGACGCGCACGGACGACGAGGCCAAGCTCGAGAAGTGGTCCAAGACGCTCATCCCCCAGGCGGGCTACCTCGAGAACCCGGATCGGAAGCCCGCGTACAGCGACCGCGACCTCGCGCGCCGCAAGGAGCGCGACGAGACCCTCGGGTCCTCGGAGGCCAAGCTCCAGACCGAGGGGTCCGTGTCCAAGGCGAAGCGCGAGACCGTCCAGGGCGACGTCCGCGCCGCGCGGAAGAAGGCCGCGGCGGAGTGGCGCGCGAAGATGGTCGCCGAGGGCAAGCTCACGGAGGCGAACAAGTTCGAGGGCCTCGTCCAGGCCATCGACGCCGCCGTCCAGGAGAAGGTCAAGGAAAAAGAAGAAAAGCACCTCAAGAAGAAGATGGACGAGCACGAGGCCTACTGGGGCCACCCCATGTCCGACGCCGAGGCCGCGAAGCTCCGCGCGGAGGTGTGCAAGAATTCTCTCGCGAACCTCCAGCGCCCGGACGACGACGACGACGACGCCGGCGTCGAGGAGGAGAAAGGCGACGCCTACGACGGCGTCGACCCGTCCCAGATCGCCGGCTAGGGCCCCGGGCCGTTTTTTTTCCGACGTAACGCTAGCTCCAGTAGTCGCCCCAGCCCTCGACCTCCGCGTCCGCGTCCGCGTCGCCGCCGTCGTCGTCGGGCTCGAGGCGCCGCCGCAGGTGGGGCACGTCGCGGAGCGGCGTCCACGCCTCCACGAGGTCGCCGTCGTAGACGAGGCTGTTGACGCCGAGGCGGCCCCGCGAGAAGGCCGCCTCGAGGTCCTCGAGGCTCGACGGGCCCCGGCGGTCGCCGTGGCCGTCGAACCAGAAGAAGCCGTCGCCCGTCGCCTCGGGCAGCTCCGGCGCGGCGCCCGGCGGCGGCGGCGGGTCCGGCGGCGGCGCCGGCGACGGCGGGCGCGCCGCGGCGTCGCGGCTCTCGCGGACGAGGTCCCGCGCGCGCCGCTCGACGAGCGCGGGCGCCTCGGGCACGGCCGCGGCCGGCGGCGGCTCGCCCGGCGGGCCGACGCGCCGGTACCGCGGCGGCGCGTCCGCGGCCGCGCGCGGCGCGCAGGCCGGGAGCTCCGCCGCGCCGTCCTCGGACTCGGCGTCGCCGGCGCCGTCCTCGGACCCGGCGTCGTCGCCGCCGCCGCCGCCGGGGCCCTTGCGCTGCGCGCGGCCCAGCTCGCGCCGCGCCGGGGGCGCGCCGCGCTGGGCGCGGTAGTCGTCAGCGCGGCCTCCGGCGCCGCCGCAGCCGCCGCGGCCTCCGGCGGCGCCGGCCCGCCGCCGCCGTCCGACGACGCGTCCGACGCGGCGTCGATGGACGCGAGCGCGGCCGCGAGCGAGTCCGCGTAGGCGCGCTCCTCCGCCGCGAGCGCGCGGAGGGCGCGCGCCGTCGTCGCGTCGGCCCGCGCGGCCGCGCCCGCGTCCGGCGCCGCGTCCGGCGCCGCGCCCGTCTCGCCCGACGCCCAGGCCTCCTCGAGGTCCGCCGCCTCCGCGACCTCGGGCGACGCGTCGGCCGGCGGCTCCGGCGGCTCCGGCGGCTCCGGCGGCTCCGGCGGCTCCGGCGGCTCCGGCGGCGCGCGCGCGGCGCCGCAGCAAAGCAGCCGCGCCTCCGCGCCGTCGTCGGGCTCCGGGTCGCCGGCGGGCGCCGCGACGAAGTCGTCGGCCGCCAGCTCCAGGTCGCCGCGGCAGTCGACCGGCGCCGGCGGGCGCTCGTAGTCCCAGACGGCCCGGCACTGGGCGTACCAGTGGTAGCGCCGGCCGAGGTACCACGCCGCCGCGGCCAGGACGTAGGCGCACGCGACGACATTGGCGGCGACGATGAGCGGCGGCCAGCTCGGCATCACATGATGGGCAGCACGCTCACCATCGTCGTTCACAAACGGAGCAAACAAAACGGAGTTGAAGCTTTGCGCATGGGGCAGCCCGACGATGAGCCTCCTCGGTCTCACGAGGCGTGTCGCATCGAGGCGTCCCTGCTCCTCGCCACGGTCGTCTGGTCGGTCCTCCTCGTCGTCGCCGTGCAGCTCATGTTCGCCTTCGACCACGCGTCCCTCGTCGACGCGGATCGGCGCTACCTCGAGGCGCTCCACGGGCGCGCCGTGTCGGCGGCGAACGTCACGGCCCTCTACGCGTCGACCCTCGAAGCCACGGACGGCGGCGCGTGCCTCGCGCCCCGCGAGAAGTCGTGCCTCGACGGCTTCTGCTCCGCGGGCGACTGGCGCGACTACCGGCGGTCGCCGCTCTTCGGCTGCCGCGGCGGCCTCGGCGCGGGGCTGCCGTCCTACGAGCTCTTCGAGCGGGCGACGACGGCGGCGTCGGCCCTCGGCGGCGCCGCCCTCGGCGGCGTCGGGCTCCACGCGTGCCTCGGCCTCGCGGGCCGGGGACGCGCGCGCTTCGTCGCCGTCGCGGCCCCGGCGCTTGCGCTCCACGCGGCCGCGGGCTTCGCCGGCGCGGCGGCCCTGTTCCGGGCCGTCGAGGCCGCGGCCCTCGTGGCCTTCCCGCACCCGGCGAGCGCCGCCATGGCCAAGGCCCACTACGACGCCGTCCTCCGCAACGGCTACCTCCTCGTCACGGCCGTCGTGACCCTCGGCGCCGCGGCCGTCGCGCTCGTCGCGCCGCCGCGGCGAGTGCCGCGGCTGGACCTGGCGTCCTGGCGCCTCGACGCGCCGGCGGGGGCTCGTAGGGACGATTCATGATGTGGTTTCAGGCAGGGAGTCGGGAGCGCGGCCACGCACCATGGTGTGGGGGGCACGTACCATTGTGCAATTGGTCAACGCGGGCGACGTCGGCCGCTCCGAGACGAACACGACCGCGGCCTTCACCGTCGGCCTCATCGTCGCGCTCTTCTACCTCGCCCAGGCCGCGGCGCCGCCCGCGGTCGACGACGCGCCGCGGTAATTCATCGAGGGGCTTAGGTGTGCTCGCAGAGCCTCTTAAGAGCGCTCAACGATAGCCGGAAAGGCGCCTGGAAAGGCAACGACGCTTGTGGATGTTGGTTGAGGCCCGGCGCCGCGTCCCGGGCAAACTTGAAATTCAAGTTGAATCGCGCGCACTATGAATTCATAATTAGCTTCGTTGCTTATCCAGGGGGGCTAGGGGGGTACCTAGGCGAACCGAGCTAGCTGAGCTAACCGTCGCAGCGTAGGTTGGTGTGGGGGGGGGCGCCCTGGAGGGGACTTGCCGGTTAGCTCCAGGGTCGTCGATGGTGCGTGCGCGGAGGCCTTTTGCCGGCTGGCTCCGCGAAACCTGGTGGATGCATGGGGAAGTGCGCAAGGTGAGAGAAAAGGGGACCGCCTCGGATCCTCGTCGACCTCGAGCGCGGTCCCCTCGGGGGGGGGGAGGTCCAGGGTTGTGCAAGCAGGGTGAGACAAGGGGACCGTGTCGGGCGCCGCCGCGCCGGGACCGCGCCTAGGGCGCGGCCCCGTTGGAGAGGTCCAGGGCGATCTCCTCGGCGCCGCGCGCGGTGAGGCTGACGCCGAGCTCGTCGCCCGACTCCTCCGACGACGACGAGCCCTCGTCGAAGAAGGACCGCGCGGCGCGGTCGTCCGGGTCTTTCGCCAGGGCTCGCTCGAGGAAGCCGCGCGCGTCCGGCTTGTCGCCCTCCTCCTCGAAGGACACGACGACGGCGGTGCGCTCCTCGCGGTCGTCGTCGGAGTCGGAGTCGCCGCCGCCGTCGTCGTCGCCGTCGCCGCCGCCGCCGCCGCCGCGGGCCTCGCGGCGCCGGTCGCGGGCCTTGACGCCCTTGCGCCAGGCCTTGCGGACGGCCTCCGGCGCGTGGAGGAGCGTCTTGCGCTTCCAGTAGGCGAGCGCGGCGATGAAGAGCACGAAGGCCCAGAAGAAGGGGTTCTCGGGGCCGGACGTCGACCCCTCCTCGCCGAGCATCTGGAGGATGCCGAAGAGCACGCCGCCCGTCTCGTCGACGAGCACCTGCTGGAAGAAGGGGCCGAAGCTGAGGACGAAGCCGACGACGGCGATGGCCCGGCCCGTCGCCCGCGGCGGCTCCCACGCGTAGAACTCCGCGCACCGCGCGACGCGCTTCGCGTCCCACTCGCGGCGCGACGCGCGGTGCGCGCGGTTCGCCGCGCGCCGCGCGGCCGGGTGCGCCGTCGCCGCGCGCGCGAGGCCGTCCGCGGCGCGCGCGGCGCGCGCGATCGCCGCGCGCGGGGACTCGCCCGCCGGCGGCGGCGCCGCGGCCGCGGCGGCCGCGGCCGCGGCCGGCGCCGGGCGCGCGAGGTCGCAGGGCTCGACGGGCAGCGGCGTGCGGAACGCGACGCGAGGGACCGAGAAGGGGTCGCCGACGTAGCTCACGCGCGCCTTGATGGCCCGGGGCATCCAGTAGCTTTGGAACCAGATCCGGAGCGGGATGAGGAAGAGCGCGCAGGCGACGACGGCGACGATCGACGCGTCGACGAAGACGCGGATGACCTCCTTGCCGAGCGCGCGCGTGACGAAGAGCATGAAGTAGAACGCGCCGCCCACGAGGAGGAGGATGGCGCCGAGGGCGAGGCACTTGGCGCACCTGCCCACGGGCGCGGGCCCGCCGTCGTCGACGTCGACGCCGCGGAGGAAGACGCGGCGCTCCGTGCCCGGCCGGAGCGCCGTCCAGTACTGGAGCTGGCACTTCGCCGCGAGCGCCTCGGCCGCGTCGCCGTCGAGGCCCGGCGCGAGGGCGTCGAAGGCCTCGAGCGCGTCCACGAGGCGCCGGAACGCCGTCGCCGCGAAGCGCCGCCGCCAGCCGCGGCAGCGGCCGCAGCCCCCGACGCGGCCCTCGAGGTCGCAGCCCCAGGCCGCGTCGTAGCAGCGCAGCAGCGCGTCGAGGTCTGCGACCACGTTCGGGTCCGACGCCGCGTCGCGCGCGTCGACGAGCTCGTAGCGCCGGTCGAGGACGCCGCGCATCGTCGGCTCGAGCGCGGCCGCCGCGGCCGCGCGCCGCGGGTCCCGCGCGCCCGCGGCGAGCTCCGCGTCCAGGCCCAGGTTCGCGAGCAGCCGCGCGGCGCCGGGGCTCCCGCCGTCGCCGTCGTCCTCCGCCTCGCCGCGCAGGGGCGCGAAGAGGTAGCGGTCGCTCATGACCTCGACGAGGCGGATCAACGGGAGCGTGAGCGCGACGCCGATGACCATGACCTGGAGCTCCGCGTAGAACTCGTCGGACCCCTCGAGGGGCGCCATCGTGCACGGCTCCTCGAAGGTCGGGTTCCACATGCAGAGCTCGCCCGTGCCGAAGGACGCCGTCGACTTGACGCGGAGGCAGCTCGCCTCCGTCATCTCCGCCTCGCAGAGGCCCGCGGGGAACGAGTACCACGTGACGATCGCGGCGCCGAAGAGCAGGAGCAGGAGGTCGACGAACGTGAGGAAGCAGCGCACGAGCCGCGGCTCGCCCTCCTCGTAGTGGAGCAGCGCGCCGAACCACTCGTGCTCGCGGACGACGACCTCGGCCACGGCGCGGAGCTTCTTGTACGTCGACACGCGCGCGGACGGCCCGGCGAGGCTCTTCCAGACCGTCCGGCTCGCCGTGAGGCCCTCGGGCAGCGCCGCCGCGAGCGCGGCGGCGCGGTCCGGCGCGCGGCCCGCCTTGGGCGGCCCGTCGCCGTCCGCGGCCTTGCCGCCGTCGTCCGCGGCGTCGCGGCGCGCCTGCCGCCAGTCGAGGACGGCGCCGACGATGCCGGCGCCGAAGCAGACGGAGCCGAGCCCGACGATGAGCCAGATGAGGGGCCAGGCGTCGTCGACGAGCGACCCCGCGAGCGGGTTCGAGAAGGCCTGCTTGTAGTAGTTGAGGTACGCGTTGCCGCTCGTCGCCGACGCGTAGTCCGACGCGGGCGCCTGCCGGCAGGAGCAGGTCGTGTTCGTCGCCGTCTCCGCGACGACGACGCACGACGTCACGTCCCAGTCGCCGACGTCCTCGGCGTAGCGGAGGCACGTCGGCACGGCCTCGACGCTGCAGTTGACGTCGACGAACCCGATCGTCGTGTTGACGCAGACGAGCTCGCGGATCTCCGGCGCGTCGTAGCCCGGGCACGTGCCGTTCGGCGCCGCGCCGACGCTGCAGTTGACCGTCAGGCTCTCGACGGCGTCGGAGACGTTCGCCGCGGGCGCGACGCGCTGGATGACGAACTCGTAGTTCGTCGCGAGCGGCTTGCCGGCCACCCAGGTCCCGACGATGCCGCCGCCGCCGTCCCCTTTCTCCTTGAGCGCGCGCCGCCGCCGCTCGCGCCGCCGGCCGCGCGCGGACGTCGACGCGCCGAGGCGCCGCCGCGCGAGCGTCGCGTCCTCCTCGCCCCGCGCCTCGGTCCCGAAGCGGAGGACCGTGCTCTCGACGTCGGACCCGTTGGCGTTGGGGCGCGTGTTCTCCTGGTACTCGACGAAGACGACGTCCTCGACGCCGTCGCCGCCCGCGGCGGCCCCGACGGACGCGGACGACGTCGCCGCGCCCGGGGCGACGGCCGCGGCGACCAGGGACGCGCCGGACGCGTTCGAGAGCCGCTGCGACGTGACCGCCATCCCGGCGCTGACCGTCGACGCGGCGTACTGGTCGGGCACGACGTCGACGATCAGCGACGCGCCGAGGCCGTCGACGGCCGCCGCGAAGTCGTCCTCCGACGACCGGCCGTCTTCGAGGCGCCGGCGGCCGCTCGCCGGGTCCCCGGCGAGGACGCCGATGAGGTCGCTCAAGGTGCTCGCGACGGCCGTCGACGTCTCCGGGGGCGCGCCGAGGACGCTCGATCCCGTCGCGATGTCGAGCGCGAGGCCGAGCGCCGCGTCCGTCGCCTCCTTCGAGAGGCTCGTCACGTCTTCGACGACGACGGAGTCGAGGGCCGTCGCCTGCTGGTTGAACGCGTCGCGGCTCGGGCTCGTGTTCGCGTTCGACGACCCGAGCGCGGTGACGAGGTCGCCGCGGAGGCCCAGCTCCGCCTCGTAGTCGGCGCTCGACGAGCCGCACGCCGGGCCGTTCCAGCCTTCGTCGCACGCGCACGCGGCGTCGACGCACGTCCCGCGTCCCCCGCAGGGCCCGTCCGCCGCCGCGCCGCAGGTCGCCGGGCACCCGTCCGCGTCGACGCCGCAGTCCTCGGCCTCGAGCGCGGCGGACGCCGCGACGGTCACCATGGCCACGGCCTGCGAGTCGCCCGTTTCGAGCGCGCTCGACAAGAGCGCGTCGGCGACGTTGGCGAGCTCCGCGGTGCTCGCCGTGGAGAGCGGCTCGACGGCGACGGACGTCGTCGCGACGGCGACGGCCCCGAACGCGTCCGCGACGTGCGCGACGACGGCGACGGCGAAGCCCGCGGCCTCGCGGCCCGCGGGCAGGATCGCGCCGCCGTACGAGTTGCTGAGGGTGCCGCCGACGATCTGCGTCTCGGCCTCGCCCTCGTCGCCCACGCGGCTGAAGAACGAGTACTTGAGCGGCATGTCGTCGTCGACCCAGAGCTTCGCCGAGATGCTAAAGGCCGTCTCGAGCGACGTGCCGCGGTCCGGGGTCGTCGCGACGGTGCCGGACGTCGGCACGCCGTTCGTCAGGAGCGAGATCGTGCCGGCCGCGACGCCGCCGGCGCCGCAGTCCGCCTCGAGCGCGAAGACGTAGCGGCTCCGCGCCGTCAACGCGGCCGGCGCGATCACCAAGGGGACCTGGGCCGACGCGGCGGCGTCGATCGACTTCGACGTGTCCGCGAGCGCCAGCTCCTGAAGCGCCAGGCCGCTGGCCGTCGCGCCCTCCGCGATCGACCACGTCGCCACGCACGCCGCGTCGTTCGGCCCCACGGTCGCCTCGACGACGATGCTCGTGGAAGGGTTCACCTTGCTCGCCTCGACGGGCGCGATCTCCAGCGACGGCACGGCCGTCGCGACGACGTCGACGCTCTGGCTCGCGCGCGCGGAGCGGCCGTCGGCGGCGCTCACCTCCACCTCGAACGCGTACGAGCCCGGCGACGCGACGAGGGCCAGCGTCGACGCCCCGTCGTCCCAGGACTCGAGGGACCCGCAGCCGTCGCCGGCGCACGTCCACAGGAAGGCGAGGTCGCTCTCGTCGCCGGGAATCACGTCGGGGTCGTAGGACTCGGACGCGTCGAGCACGAGCGCGTCCGTCGCCGACACGGTGCGGGACGAACCGCCCGCGACGAGCGCGACGAGAGGCGCCGCCGCGACGGAGACGGCCACCTCCGCGGCGTTGGAGAGCCCGGCGCTGTCGGTGACGACGACGCGCAGCGCGTACGTCGCGCCGCCGTCCAACTCGAAGGGCAGCGCCTCGAAGTAGCGCGGGTCCTGGGACTCGTCGATCCCGAGCGTCGCGTCCGCCGGGTCCGTCGCCGTCAGCTCCCAGGCGTAGGTCAGCGCCGACGTGTCGAGGTCGCCGCAGGCCGTCGCCGCCGACGCTTGCGCCTGGACGCGAAGCCCATCGGAGCGCTGGACGGTCTGGGCCTCGCCGCCGACGATCTTGACGGACGGGAGCGCGCCGGCCGCGACGCTCACGGCGTGCGACGCGCTGCCGGCGGTGTCGAGGTAGCTGACGAACGTCGCGGAGATCTGGAGCTGGACGCCGCCGAGGGTCGCGGCCGCGACGACGTAGGTGTCCTGGTTCTCCGCCGCGGCGGCGGCGTCGGCGGCGACCTGGGCCGCGGCGTCGGCGCCCGCGCCTTCGGCCGTCGCTTCCCACGTCACGCTCTTCCAGGGCCTGCCGCCGCTGCCCTGGGTCGACGACGCGTCGACGACGAGCTCGTCGCAGGTGCCGACGGTCTTCGGCGCGTCGAAGACGACGGTCGGCGCGACCGGGTTCGCGGGGCCCTCGACGACGGCCGACGACGCCTGGTCCGACGCGGGAAAGCAGTGCTCGGCGCCCTCGGTGCGGAGCTTGCCGGCGAGGAGCGTCGCCGTCGACCCGGGCTCGATCTGGCTCGACGCGCCGAGCACGGCCTCGAGCAGCGTCGCTTCGCGGAACGCGCAGTAGTCCGCGACGCCGTCCATCGTCACGAGGTCCGCGCAGTCGAAGTTCGACCCGCCCTTGCCGAAGCGGTCCGTCGGGACGTCGAAGGCGAAGATCACGCCCGCGCCGTTGTCCGAGACGCGGGCGGACGCGAGCTTGGGCGCCTCGGGCGCCTTCGCCGGGTCGCAGGGCGTCGGGGCGGCCGTCGGGCGCGCCGTCGGGCGAGGCGTCGGCCGGTTGCTCGGACCCGCGGTCGGCGACGGCCAGGGCGCGGGCGTCCGCAGGACGATCGTTTCGACCACGACGGTCTCCTGCGCTTCGAAGAACGCGGCCGCCGCAGAATATCTCTGCGTCTCCTCGGTCTCCTCGGTCGCGCCTTCGGCTTGCTCGACCTCCTCGACCTCCTCGGCCTCCTCGACGAGCCGCACGGCTTCCTCGACGAGGGCCTGATCGAAGACGTCGCGCTTCTCCGAGATTTCCTGCTCCATGAGGGCCGCGACCTCGCCCATCTGGAGCCCCGACTCGGGCTCCGCGTCTCCGAAGACGAGACCGGTCACGTCCGCCGCGATCGCCTCCATGCGCCCCACGATGGTCCGAGCGGCGTCCTCCGCCTCTTCGCACGCGATGTCGACGGCCATTTCCGCGCCCTCGCGCAAGAACCCGCTCAGGAAGTCCGCGATGACCGTGGCGTAGATGCCGTCGACGCCGAGCGAATCGAATTCCTCGCACGCAGAGTCCTGCATCCGCCGACGCCGCCCGCCGCTCTCGACCTTGAGTCGCAGCTCGGTGAGGAAGAGCGTCTGCGTCGGCGCGAGCGTCGGAACGGACGTCGGCTTCGGCGTCGGGGCGGACGACGGCCGCGGGGACGGCCGCGGCGTCGGGTCCGCCGTCGGCCGCGCCGTCGGGCCCGGCGTCGGCCTCGGGCTTGGTGGCTCCGTCGGGATCGGCGAGGGCTTGTGAGTCGGCCGCGGCGACGGGCGCGTACTCGGGAAGGGCGTCGCGTCCGTCGGCCTCGACGTCGGCGAGGCGGACGGCCTCGGCGTCGGCGAGGCGGACGGCCGCCGCGTCGGCGGCCCCGAGGGGCTCGGAGTCGCCTCCTCGAACTCGAAGCCGCTCTCGAAGGCACCGCTCTCGAGTGAAGCGGTAGGACTCGCCGTCGGCGCGGGTGTCGGCGGCGCGGACGGCCTCGGCGTCGGGGACGCCGAGGGGAGCGGCGTCGGCGCGGGCGTCGGCGCGGGCGTCGGCGACGTCGAGGGCGCGGCCGTCGGCGACGTCGAGGGAGCGGGCGTCGGCGACGCCGTCGGCGCCGGCGTGTACGACACGGAAAACTCGAGCTCGTCCGTGAGCGAGTCGTCCGAGTCGCACGTGAGCCGGATCGTGAATCGATTGGCCTCGGCGTCGCCGGGGATCACCTTCACGTCCCGGCCGTCGTTGGCGGCCGTGTCCTCCGCGAGCACCGTCTCTTCCTCGTCGACGACTTCGATGACTTGGATGATCACGTTCTCGCAGGCGCCCGGGTCGCCGCGGTAGACCCAGAGCAGCTCGCACTCGTGGTTGGCGACGCAGGTCGACACGGTGCCCATGCTCGTGATCTCGATGAAGGAAGCCGTCGGCGACACCGTCGGCGCGGGCGTCGGCGACGTCGAGGGAGCGGCCGTCGGCGCGGGCGTCGGCGACGTCGATGGAGCGGGCGTCGGCGACGTCGAGGGAGCGAACGTCGGCGCGGGCGTCGGCGCCGGCGTGTACGACACGGAAAACTCGAGCTCGTCCGTGAGCGAGTCGTCCGGGTCGCACGTGAGCCGGATCGTGAATCGATTGGCCTCGGCGTCGCCGGGGATCACCTTCACGTCCCGGCCGTCGTTGGCCGCCGTGTCCTCCGCGAGCACCGTCTCTTCCTCGTCGACGACTTCGATGACCTGGATGATCACGTTCTCGCAGGCGCCCGGGTCGCCGCGGTAGACCCAGAGCAGCTCGCACTCGAAGTTGGCGACGCACCTCGACTCCGTGCCCATGCTCGTGATCTCGATGAAGGAAGCCGTCGGCGACACCGTCGGCGCGGGCGTCGGCGACGTCGACGGCGACACCGTCGGCGCGGGCGTCGGCGACGTGGAGGGAGCGGGCGTCGGCGACGTCGAGGGAGCGGCCGTCGGCGCGGGCGTCGGCGACGTCGATGGAGCGGGCGTCGGCGACGTCGAGGGAGCGAACGTCGGCGCGGGCGTCGGCGCCGGCGTGTACGACACGGAAAACTCGAGCTCGTCCGTGAGCGAGTCGTCCGAGTCGCACGTGAGCCGGATCGTGAATCGATTGGCCTCGGCGTCGCCGGGGACCACTTTCACGTCCCGGCCGTCGTTGGCGGTCGTGTCCTCCGCGAGCACCGTCTCTTCCTCGTCGACGACTTCGATGACCTGGATGATCACGTTCTCGCAGGCGCCCGGGTCGCCGCGGTAGACCCAGAGCAGCTCGCACTCGAAGTTGGCAACGCACCTCGACTCCGTGCCCATGCTCGTGATATTGATGAAGGAAGCCGTCGGCGACACCGTCGGCGCGGGCGTCGGCGACGTCGACGGCGACACCGTCGGCGCGGGCGTCGGCGACGTGGAGGGAGCGGGCGTCGGCGACGTCGAGGGAGCGGCCGTCGGCGACACCGTGGGCGCTGGCGACGGCGCGGGCGTCGGCGGGGGCGTGATGCTGTCGTAGAGGACCTCGATCGAGGTCGCGTCGAGCGCGCTCGCATAGACGTAGACCTCGTCGATGGCGCCGGAGAACAAGTGGTTCCCGTTTCGATCCGTCCGGTCTCCGAGCGTGAGAGCATAGTCCGAGCCCGTGTCGAGCGCGACGCTATACGTGTACGCGGACGCCCCGTCGAAGTAGAGCGTCCACGATCCGTCGTAGGCGAGGCAGTAGTGGTGCCAGTCGCCGTCGTCGGACCCGGAGAGCGCCACGGCCATGTCGTAGCTCCCCCCGTGGAGCTGGACCTGGATGCTTCCCGACGTCTTCGCCATGATCCCGAACTCCATACCATCCGCCCCGGAACCGTGCGAAAACAGCGCGCCCTCGTCCCACTCGTCGATGACCGCCCACAGGCAGATGGTCCGCGAGTTGCTCCCGAGGATGTCCGCCGTCACGGCCGAGGGAAACTCGACGTAGTCGTTCGTGCCGTCGAAGGCCAGCGCGCCGCTCCCGTCGCGGCCCGTCGTCGCCGTGGCGCCGTGAATCGTCCCGTCGAGGCCGCCGTAGTCGCCCGCGGCCGTCCCCTCGTCGAAGGAGTAGTGCGCGACCAGCGTCGAGTGGGACACGTGCGTCGGCCGCGGCGAGACCGTCGGATTGGGCGTCGGGAGCGGCGTCGGATTGGGCGTCGGGAGCGGCGTCGGGAGCGGCGTCGGGAGCGGCGTCGGGAGGGGCGTCGGCAGCGGCGTCGGATACGGAGTCGGATACGGAGTCGGGTCCGGCGCTTGGTAGCCGTTGACGATGAGGATCTGGCCGCTGCAGACCGTCGACCTGTACCCGCCCGCCCCGTCCGTCCAGTAGGAGAGCGGCCCGGAGGAGAACAGAAACGTAGGGTAGTTCGCCGTCCCGTAGTACTCGCCGACGCTGGGGTCCGAGGCGGACAGCACACCCATGACGTGCGTGTTCCACGGGTACGCGTTAATGACGTTGTTGTAGAGGTCAGACGAGTAGGTCGCGATCGCCCACCCCGAGGGGACGGCCGCGTACCAGCTCCCGCAGATCGGCGACCAGGAATGCGGGTCGATGTCGTGGATGGTCGAGTAGGTCGCGCCGTTGTACGTGATCGAGTTCCGCGCCGCGGCGAGCGTGGCGGCGGCGAGGATGAGGAGCAGCTTCATGGCGGCGGCGGTCCCAGGCGCGCGTCGGCGCGGCGCTCGTCGGGGAGTTTTCGCGCGGTCGCCGGAAACTCTTGGAATTCGGACCCGGGGCGCCTCGTCGACGCGGGGGGGCGAGGGGGCGCGTCCGGGGCCCGGCGGGCGTCGTCGACGTAGGGCAGGCGGGTGGTCTGGGCGCGTGTGGTGACTTGGCCGGCGCTCGGAACCACGGCGTGCGGCGAAGATGTCGCCCTCGAATTAAATCGAAGAATATTCCGCTAATTTCACAAAAAGCACGGCTCGCTTAGTTTGATGTCGCACCCAAAATAATCGAAATGAATTTCACAAAAGGCACGGCTCGCTTTTGAGGGGCCCCTGCGCGACGGTGCGTGCCGCGGTCCCCGGCCACGTCCCCGGCCCGTGCCCGGGCCGTGCCCGGGGCCCCGTGCCGGGCCCGTGCCGGGCCTCCCCGGCCCGTGCCCGGCCCGTGCCCGGGGCCCGTGCCGAGTGCCGGGCCCGTGCCGGGCCGCGTGGCCCGTGCCCGGCCCGTGCCCGGGGGCCCGTGCCGAGTGCCGTGCCGCGTGCCGGGCCCGTGCCGGGCCGCGTGCCCTGAGCGCATTTACCGTGCCGGAACCCCCGTGCCCGCCGTCCCCGCCCCCCGTCCCGGGGCCGGACCGTCGCGCAGGGGCCCGTCTTTTGAAGTATGATTGGGTCAATGTTGCACTTCGGCGCATTCGGCCCCAACCGCAAGTCCAACCGCCCCCGCCCGGGCGCGCCGCGGCGCCGACGCGGCTCGTCGACACCCCCGCGTCGAGTAGAAGTAGGTCATTAGCGGCGCGCGGCGCGGCCGGAAGGGGGGCCCGGGGGCCCCGGCGCGCCGCCTAGACGCCGAACATGTTCTTGAGCACGCCGAGCGCGTTCTTCTTCTTCTCCGGCGCGTCGTCGGAGCGGAGCGCGCTCATGGGCCCGTGGAGGAGCTTGGAGACGATGCCGCGGCTCAGGCGCTCGACGGCCTCGATCTCGCGCTGCGAGAGGTTCGCGAGCTTCGCGTCGGCGCGCTTGAGCTCGGCCGCGCGGATGGCGTCGGCCTTGCTCTGGAGCTTCGTGATGGCGGGGACGGCGCCGAGGGACGAGACCCAGGAGCGGAAGGACTCCTGCTCCTCCTCGAGGAGCTTCTCGGCCTCGACGATCTCGCGGCGCCGCTTCGCCGTGTTGCGCTCGACGACGGCCTTGAGGCTGTCGACGTCGTAGGCGGCGACGCCGTCGACGTCGTCGCAGGCCGGGTCGACGTTGCGGGGCACGGCGATGTCGACGAGCATGACGCGCTCGCGGCCCGCCTGGCGGTCGAGCGCCGCGAGGCGGCCGGCCTCGAGCACGTAGTCGACGGCGCTCGACGCCGTGAAGACGACGTCCGCGTCGCGGGCGAGGTCGTAGGCGACCTGGTCGTCGCCGTCGGAGGCGACGACCTCGATGTCGACGTCGTGCGACTCCTTGTAGTCCGCGGCGATGGCCTCGGCGTTCGGCCGCGACCGGTTGAGGATGACGCACTTCTTGCCCACGGAGCCGTGGGACGCCATGTGCGTGAGGAGGAGGCGCGTCATCTTGCCCGCGCCGACGATGAGCACGCGCGCGTCGGCGAGCTCGAGGCCGCCCAGGTCGCGCGGCGCGCGCTCCGCCGCGAGCTCGTACGCGGCCGACGAGATGGACACGGCGCCCTTGGCGATGTCCGTCTCGTCGCGCGCGCGCTTCCCCGCGGCGACGGCGGCGTTGAGCAGGCGGCTCGTGACCTTGCCGCCGGAGCCCTCGATGGCGTGCGCGTAGCACGCCTTCATCTGCGAGAGGATCTGGCCCTCGCCCACTACCAGGCTGTCGAGGCCCGCGGACACGCGGAGCGCGTGGGCCGTCGCGTCCTCCTCGCCGAGCATGAAGAGCGACTCGCGGAGCTCCGCCATGGGCAGCCCGCTGCGGCCCTGGAAGTAGGAGCTCATCGCCGAGAACGCGGCGCGCGCGTCGCGCGCCGCGAAGTAGACCTCGAAGCGGTTGCACGTCGAGAGCACGGCGGCCTCGGCGATGGCGCCCGACGACGACGCGACGATCTCGCCCGCGGCCTCCTCCCACTCGGCCTCGGGGATGGCGAGCTTCTCGCGGACCTCGACCTTGGCGTTGTGGTGGCTCAGGCCGACGACGAAGACGTCGAGCGACTGCTCCGCGGACCGGAGCCGCGCCTCGCGCTTCGCGCGCGCCGCCGCCTCGTCGGAGAGCTCCCGCGAGCCCAGGGGCAGGGCCGCCGCCTCCTCGAGGGCGGCCTTGGCGTCGGAGGTCGTCGCGGGGGCCGCCACGGCGGCCACGCGCGTGGCGGCGCGGCCGGGGCGGACCGCCGGCGCGACGAGCGTCACGGTGGGGGTGAGGGTGGACAGGAGGATCGCCAGGGCGACGTGGCGACCCATGCTGCCGGGGTGGGGGCGGGCGACGGGCCCACGAAACGCGATCCTGCGGCCACCTCGAAGCGTCGAGCCGAGCTTTTTCGTCGCCCGGAGGTTCAAGACGCGGCATCAAGATCTGGCCGGGGTCGGCTGTCTCGGTCGCCGGAGAAAAGTCGACGATGCAAACGACGCCATAAGCGTCTGGGGTGGGCCCCTCGACAATCACATGAGACAACAAATCAACTTGCACTCGCACCCCCGTCCAGGTGACCACCCCCCACGGTCGCTGCGCGGAAACTCCAATTTGCCACCGTGACCTCTTTTGCACCCGTCCGTACGGCGCAGCCCGCCGGCGCGCGCTGAAGCGCCGAAGAGGCGCCAGCGTCCTGGCAAGTAAAGATCACGCCACTTTCTCCTTCGAAGCTTCGGGGATGCTGGCGCCACGAAGTAGGCTACTTATCCCCGCGGCGGGCGGCGGGGGAGGGGGGGGCTGCAGGTCAGCGTCGTAGGCGAAGAAGATGTGCAGATGCGGACACGGGGGCCTTCAGGCCGCGCCGCCGCGGGCTGGCGCCGCGCAGTAGAGCTCAGCGAGGTCGCCGCGCGCGCCGAGGTCGTCGCCGCGGCGGCCGGCGGCACCGGGCCCGCGCGGGACGCCGTCGCAGCCGGGTGCCGCTTCGGCCCGCCGCGCGCGTCCTAACGTAGGAGCGTAGGTCTTAGGGGAGGGTTCGAATGCTTGGCCGCGCTCGGCGCGATTCGGTTTCGCCGGGCCGCGCGGCGTTCCGTGCCCGAGGCCCCGTGGGAGCCTCGGTCGGTGGATATGTGCGATGCGAGAATGTGTATCAGATGCGAGGCCCGTTGTTGCCGGTGAATTTCGGGAAACCCGTGTCCATGTTCATGCGGGCGGCGCGCAGCGCCATGCGTTTGCGGGCCGCGGGAGCGGCTACGTCGCGCGGCGCCGCGGGGCGGATTGGGAGAGGAACCTCATGCGCCACCGCGCGCATCCGCGCCCGCGCGCGCGCCTCCGCCGGCGTCTTCGGCGGCTCGGAAGCCGTAGGTTGCAACGGCGCCGGCGGGACCGGCGACGGCGTCGGGGGGACCGGCGACGGCGGCGCCGCGGGGACCTCCGGTGCAGCGGCGGCGGCGCGGGGCTGGTAGGGCTTGCGGAAGTCCTCCCAGGGGGTGAACGGCACGAAACCTGGGGATTTGTCCGGCAGGGCCGCCCGCTCCATGCAGGAGGCGCCCATGTCGCTCACGACGCACTCTTCGCCGTCGCGATATTCGACCCAAAAGTGGTCCGCATTGCCGTCGGCAGCGCGCAGCGGCGCGCAGCGGCGCGTGGGCCGCTGCTGCACGGGAAGCAGGCCCAGCGCCGGGGCGAGGGCGAGAAGAAGGAGTGTTGAGGGCGCCATCTGCCTGCGTGGCTCTGCGACTTGAGAATAAGAAGCGGCAGCACCGCGTAAACATCGGGTTCAACAACGGTTTTGAACCTCCTTTTAAACACGCCATCACATTACATGCGCCACCCCGTCCACGTCGACCGCCCCCCAGGGCCGCTCCGCCGACACGCCGGATCGCAAGAAGGCGCTCGCCACGACCTTCGCGCCCGTCCGCACGGCGCAGCCCGCGTGGAGCGTCGACGCCGCGTCGGCGTCGTAGGCGAAGAAGAGCGCGGACCCGGGCACGGGGTCGACCTTGAGGCCGCGGCCGGGGAACACGGTCGCGCCGCCGAGGGCCGGCGCCGCGCAGTAGAGGAGCACGGTCGCCGCGCGGCCGCCGCTCCCGCCCGCGCCGTCGGCGCGGTCGCAGGACACGTCGCAGTGGGGCTCGTACGCGTCGCGCTCGCCGTACCTATCCGCGGGCGTTCTCAAAGAAATCAGACCCGGCCTTCGTTCCCAAGAAACCGGACGCCGGCTCCTCGCTCGACGACGTTGACGGGCTCCTGGAAGTCGCCGAACGGCACTCGCAGCCCCGCGAAGCCCTCGGCGAAGCCTACGACCGTCGCTCGCCATCGAAGGACGCCGGGGGAACTCCCATCGCTCTCACGCGGCCCATCGAAGGACGCCGGGGGAACTCCCATCGCTCTCACGCGGCCCATCGAAGGACGCCGGGGGAACTCCCATCGCTCTCACGCGGCCCATCGAAGAACACCGGGGGAACTCCCATCGCTCTCACGCGGCGCATAGAAGAACGCCGGGAGAACCTCGAGGACCCATCGAACAACGCCGGGGGAACTCCCATCGCTCTCGCGCGGCCCATCGAAGAACGGCCGGGAAAACCTCCCATCGAAGGACGCCGGGGGCACTCGCGGGCCGCGCGCGCGAGGAAGGCCGAGGACGCAGCGAACGGCAGGAAGACGCCGCGGCGCCGCCGGAAGCTCGAGCCCTCGTGGCTCAGCCCCCCGTCCCGCGGCGCCCGCTCGCGGCCCTCGGCGTCCGCCGCCGCGCGGAGCGCGTCGCACTCGCCCGGCGCCGCGAAGCCCGCCACCGCGGCGACGAGCGGCCGCCGGGCCAGAACGTCGACGCGGAAGCTCCGATTCGCGTCCGCGTACGTCGCACTCTCTATGGGCGCCGTCGCCGGGACGCCGTCGCGGCAGGGCGCGACGTGGAGCGCGTCGAGGAAGACGAACTGCCTCGCGGCCGCGCGGTCGTCGCGGTCGAAGGGCTCGACGTAGCGGCGCGACGCGACGACGACGCGGTCCGCGAAGGACGCCGCGCTCGCCGGGTGCTCGAACCAGTCGACGGCGACGCCCGGCGCCGCGTCGAAGGCCGCGCCCTCGCCCGCCGCGAGCGTCGCGTTGCCCCGGCCCTCGACGCTGACGACCATCGTGCGCGGCGGCCGCGTCGCGCCGTTGACGAAGAGGGCCTCGTAGGGCGCCGCGCACCGGCACCACGCCGCGACGAGCGCGGCGCGCAGGCCTGTCATACGGTGACAGGCACGCTTCAGGCGAGACGGCAGCTTTTGAATCGTCAAGTTGACAGGCCTTTCACCGTGATGCGCCGGTCGTTCATCTCCGCGACGCGCTGGCCGTCACTGCATCAGGCAGCCTCGAGACGGGCATCAGGCGGCCTCGAAATGGCAGCCCATTGCGTTTGATTGAAATCGTCAAGGTGAAGTTAAATAAAGAGCAGCCCTCGCAGCCCTTGGAAAATATGCGCGTCGTCCTGCGCGGCCTCAAGGGCGAGGAGTGCGTGCTCGGGTGCATCAACCTCGACAAGTGGCTCGAGAGCCGCGTGGGCCTCCTCGGCATGACCTTCGCCGTCAAGAAGATGGGCTGGCGCAAGGAGGACGTCATGGCGCGCAGCGTGACGCTCTACCGCGTCGTCGAGGGCGGCGCCCGCGGGGCGGCGCTCGACGAGGCGGCGCTCATCGGCGAGGTGCTCGCCGACGAGGCCGTCTACGACGTCGCCGTCGGGGCCGCCGCGCCGCGGACGCCCAACGACCCCGCGCTCGGCTACGACCAGTCCGTCGGCGAATCCGCGAGTCCCTACTGGGCGGAGCTCCGCGACGCGGGCACGCGCGAGGCCATCACCTGGCGGGACCCGCGCCTCGGCGTCGGCGGCTTCGACGACACGCCGCCGCCGCGCTTCGACGTCGGCGACGCCGCGGCCTACGACCACATGGCCGAGCACGGCTACGTCGTCTTCAAACGCGCGCTCGACGGCGGCGACGTCGCGGCGGCGAAGGACCTCTTCTGGCGCTTCATGGAGGCCCACGCCCGGTGCGAGGCGCCGCCGCGCGACGACGAGGCCGAGGCCGGCGACGACGCCGGGGCCGGGGCCGTGCGCCGCGACGACGTGACGACGTGGCACTGGGTCACGAACCCCATCAACGGCCTACTGGGCGTCGGGGGCATCGGCCAGAGCGACTTCCTCTGGTTCGTGCGCACGCGGCCGCGCGTCCTCGCCGGCGTCCCGTGGCGGCGACGATGTTCGAGAGATTTTCTACCGGGAAAACGAAGACGTGCTCGGTAGGTCCTCGCGGCCTTCGCGCGCCTCTGGGACTGCGGCTGCGACTACGGCGACGCCGAGGCCTGCGCGGCGGCGCTGCTCACGTCCTTCGACGGCTGCGGCACGTTCCGGCCCTGGGCGGCCGCGAGCGAGTGGCGCACGATGCCCGGCTGGTGGCACGTGGACCAGAACGCGCTCGCGGAGCGGCCGCGCGCGGGCAAGTGCGCGATCCAGGGCCTCGTGTCGCTCTTCGACGCCGACGGGTCCACGGGCAGCTTCTGCGTGCTCCCGGGCACGCACAAGCAGCACGACGCGTTGAGCGCCGACTCCAAGGCCACGGTCGGCGGCAAGGGCCACTTCATCCCCCTCCGGGGCGCGGACCCGCTGCTCAAGCGGAGCGTCGCCAAGTTCGTCTCCTGCGAGGCCGGCGACCTCGTCTGCTGGGACTCGCGCGCGGTCCACTGCTCCCTGCCCGCCTACGCCGGCGACGGCGGCCTCGCGAAGCTCCAGGCCCTCGGCGACGGCGCCCGGGCCGAGGACTGCATGCTCCGGCTCACGGCCTACGTCTGCATGTCGCCGAAGCGCGTCGCCGACGACGTCGTGCGCCGGAAGCGGAAGATCTGGTGGCACGCGGGGGCGACGACGACGCACTGGCCCAACGACTGGACCGTGTCCATGATGCCCGAGGACAGCGGCGTCCAGTGGCCGCTCCGCGAGCTCCGCGACCTGCCGTCGCCGCGGCTCGCCGCGCGCCTCATCGGCTGGGACGACGCGCCCGTGCTCGACGCGCTCCCGACGCTCGCCCAGCTCGACCCGCTCTTCGGGCGGACGACGAGGGCGCGGACGACCCGGGCTACGAGGCCAAGGAGGCCGAGGCCATGCGCACGGAGTCCTGCGGCGCCTAGGTGTGTTTCCCTCACCGCACCTAAAAACAGCGCGGCCCCGGGCTTAGTACGCCTCCTCGCACCAGAGCTTGTCGATGAGCCACGCGCCGGACCGGTCGGACCGGGACAGCTCGAGGGTCACGGTCCACTCGGAGTCGTCGACGTCCGTGAGCAGGACGTCGTGGCTCGCCTTGCGGTCGTCGTCGTCGAAGTCGACGTCCTCCGGGTCCATGCTCAGCCACCGCGTCAGCACGCGGTACGGGTAGTCGTCGTCGAAGAGGTAGGTCCGGAAGAGCTCGGGCGTCAGCGCGTGGCTCGGGTTCGCCTTGGACACGAACTTCAGGGCCACGCCGCAGCCGTGGTTCTTCGTCGGGTCGTCGACGTGCCGCAAAGCGTTCAGCACGGTTTTCGCGACCCACCGCGGCGACGTCAGCGCGCCGAAGCTCGCGCCGTCGCCGGGCACGGCCGACGGCTGCGGCTCTTCCGCTAATTTCGGCGGCGCCGGCGCCGGCGGCGCGTCCTCGGGCTGCACGAGCACCGCGTCGACGAGCCAGCCGCGGTCGTCGTCGAGGCTCAGGCTCCAGACGGCCGTCGCGATGAGGTAGCCGGCCGCGCCCGACAGGCCCGTGCGCACGGTCGCGCGCATGCCGTCGCGGCTCACGGCGGCCGACGACGCGGCGATGGCGTCGAAGGTGAGCAGCGGGCCGTAGTGCTGCCGGTGGTCGTCGACGGACCGCGCGAACGACCGCGGCGTGAGCGCGTTCGCGTTGTTCGACGGCGACACGAGCTCGAGCACGCGCGCCGACGCGGCCACGAGGTCGTCGTCGCGCGACCCGTCGCGCAGCAGCGTCGCCGCCTCGCGCGCGACGGCGAAGGCCGCGGCCTCGTCCGGCGACAGGTCCGCGGGCGCCGGCGAGGCCCGCAGGGGCACACGCCGCGCCACGTTTCGTCTGCGGTGGCCCGGGTGGACGTAGCCGCCGACGCCCACGACGCCGAGGGCGAGGACCGCCGCGAGGCGCCCCATTTCTCCGCGGCGTCGGCGGCCTTGAAGGCGCTGGCGCTTGGGCACTCTGTGGCAGAGGCACGGTCGGCGCCCACGCCGCGTCGCGCCGCGCCGAGGCTCGCGACCATGCAGTCCACGCTGACGGTGGACAACGCGCCGGCGAAGTCGCTGGCGTACTCGAACCGCGTCTACCTGCACCCGAGCGATTTTGCGGCCTTCAAGAGCGCGTCGCCGGCCCAGGGCGTCGCGGACGACTGCTGCCTGCTGCTGCTGTCCGGCGCCGGCGGCGACTGGGTCTTCGCGGCGTCGGCCTACCCGACCATGGCCGCGGGCAAGCTCGGCGTCGCGTCCATGCAGCGGCGCACGGCGGGCCTCGAGATCGACGCGGCCGTCGACGTCGCGCCGTTCACGGCGACGCTCGACACGGGTTTAGGCAAGCTCCGCGTGAGCCTCGCGCCCTTCAAGGCCGGCGCGGCCGCGGACCTCGACGCCGCGGAGGTCGGCGCCTACTTCGCGCGCGAGTACGGCTGCCAGGTCTTCGCCGTGGGCCAGAAGCTCGCGGTCGCGTTCAAGAAAAATGCTCTGATCGCGACCGTCGAGGGCCTCGACTTCGGCGTCGGCGGCCAGGCGCGGGGCGGCGGCCGCTTCGGCCAGGTGCTGCCGGGCGTCACTCAAGTGATGCCCTTCAAGGAGCGCGGCGGCGGCAACCCGAACTTCAAACTCTCCAACGTCGCCGACGGCGCGGCCGGCGGCGGGTCCGGCGGCCCGAAGGAGTCGCTCTTCAACTCCGACTTCGACTTCGCGAAGCTGGGCATCGGCGGCCTCGGCAGCGAGTTCGACACGATCTTCCGGCGGGCCTTCGCGAGCCGCATCTACCCGAGCCACCTCATCCAGCAGATGGGCATCACGCACGTCCGCGGCATGCTCCTCTTCGGCCCGCCGGGCTGCGGCAAGACGCTCATCGCGCGCCAGATCGGCAAGGTGCTGAACGCGCGCGAGCCCAAGATCGTCAACGGGCCCGAGGTCCTCGACAAGTACGTCGGCGCGTCGGAGGAAAAGATCCGCGAGCTCTTCGCGGACGCCGAGGCGGAGCAGAAGGCCGAGGGCGACGACTCGATGCTCCACACGATCATCTTCGACGAGATGGACGCCATCTGCAAGAGCCGCGGGTCCGTGCGCGACGGCACGGGCGTCTCCGACTCCATCGTGAACCAGCTCCTGTCGAAGATCGACGGCGTCGACTCGCTGAACAACATTTTGGTCATCGGCATGACGAACCGCAAGGACATGATCGACGAGGCCATCCTAAGACCGGGGCGCCTCGAGCTCCACGTCGAGATCGGTTTGCCGGACGAGGCCGGCCGGCTGCAGATCCTCGACATCAAGACGGCGACCATGAAGAAGGCCGGGCGCCTCGCGCCGGACGCCGTCGACGCGCTGCCCGCGCTCGCCGCGCGCACGAAAAACTTCTCGGGCGCGGAGCTCGAGGGCCTCGTCAAGTCGGCGTCGTCCTACGCGCTGCGGCGCTGCGTCGACGTCGCCAAGGGCAACGCCATCGACGACGCGAACCTCAAGGTCGTCCGGTCCGACTTCGACCACGCGCTCGACTCCGGCGAGGCCGTCGCCGCGTTCGGCGCGAAGCAGGAGTCGCTCGAGGCGCTCTACCGCGACGGCCTCGTGGACTACGGCTTCCAGTTCCGCGAGATCAAGGGCGCGCTGGACCGCCTCGTGGAGCAGACGCGCGTCTCCTCGAAGACGCCGCTCATGACCGTGCTCCTCGAGGGCCGCGTCGCGACGGGCAAGACGGCGCTCGCGGCCTACACGGCGGCCCACGCGGAGTTCCCCTTCGTGCGCGTGCTCAGCGCCGACGCCATGATCGGCTACTCCG